TCATTGTCCCCGTGTCCCCTCCCATGTCCCTCCATGTCCCTCCCATGTCCCTCCATGTCCCCTTGTGTCCCTTCATGTCCCCGTCTCCCCTCATTGTCTTTGTGTCCCTTCACGTGTCCTCCCTGTCCCCTCATGTCCCCTTGTGTCCCTTCATGTCCCCGTGTCCCCTCCCATGTCCCCTCATGTCCCTTCATGGTCCCCTCTTGTCCCTTCATATCCCCCCGTGTCCCCTCCATGTCCCCTCACATGTCCCTCCATGTCCCCCACATGTCCCTTCATGTCCCTTTGTGTCCCCTCCCATGTCCCCCATGTCCCTTCATGTCCCCATGTCCCCCCCATGTCCCTCCCATGTCCCCTTGACCCTGTACCCCCCATGTCCCCTCATTGTCCCTCCCCATGTCCCCATGTCCCCTCATTGTCACCGTGTCCCCTTCTGTGTCCTCCATGTCCCTTCATGGTCCCCTCTTGTCCCTTCATGTCCCCTCCATGTCCCTTCATGTCCCCGTGTCCCCTCCCATGTCCCCATGTCCCCCACATGTCCCTTCATGTCCCTGTGTCCCCTCCCATGTCCCCGTGTCCCCCCGTGTCCCCTCATTGTCCCCTCGTGTCCCCTCATGTCCCCATGTCCCCTCCCATGTCCCTCCATGTCCCTCCATGTCCCCTCATGTCCCTTCATTGTCCCCGTGTCCCCTCCCATGTCCTCGTGTCCCCCCGTGTCCCTGTCCCCTCCATGTCCCCTCATTGTCCCCGTGTCCCCTCTGTGTCCCCCACATGTCCCTCCATGTCCCCTCGTGTCCCTTCATGTCCCCATGTCCTGGAGATCCCCAGGGATGAATCCCCAGGGATGGATCCCCAGGGATGGATCTCCAGGGAAGGATCCCCTGGGATGGATCCCCAGGGATGGATCCCATCCCATCCCATCCCATCCATCCCATCCCATCCATCCCATCCATCCCATCCATCCCATCCCATCTCCTCCATCCCCTCCCATCCCCTCCCATCCCATCCCATCCCATCTCATCTCATCCCCTCCATCCCACCCCATCCCATCCCATTCCATCCCATCCTGTCCCATCCTGTCCCATCCCATTCTCTTCATCCCATCCCGTCCTGTCCCATCCCCTCCCATTCCGTTCCATCCCATCCATCCCATCCAATCCCGTCCCATCCCATCCCATCCCATTGCAATCCTCAATCCAACTCCATCCTGATCCCATCGTGTCTTCATCTTCATCCTCATCCCATCCCCATCCCCTGATCCATCCCCCCTCTGTCCCCATCCTGTCCCCTTCTTCATTCCCATCCCATCCCTTCCCCATCCATCCATCCCCAGCCCATCCTCATCCTGTGCCCATTCCCATCTTCTCCCCATCCTGCATTCCAATTCCATTCTCATCCCATCCATCCATCTCCATCCCACTCTCATCCTGTCCCCATCCCATCTTCATTCCCATATTATGTCTGTCTGAATCTCCATCCCCACCTCAACCCATCCCATTCTCCATCCCATCCCATCCCATCCTGTCTCCATCCCCATACCATACATATCCCATCCCAGTCTCCCCATCCAATGCCATTCTCAGCCCACCCCCAACTTCATCCCACCTTCATTCCCATTCCATGCACACCCCATCCCAATCCCCCCCTTCTGATTCCATCCCCATCTCATTCTCCATGCCCTCCCACTTTCCATCCACATCCCATCTCAATCCCATTCTCCATTCCCATCCCAATCCCATTCTCCATCCCATCCCATCCTCATCCTGTCTCCATCCCCATACCATATATATCCCATCCCAGTTTCCCCATCCAATGTCATTCTCAACCCACCCCCACTTTCATCCCATCCTTGTTCCCACTCCCTGCTCACCCCATCCCAATCCTCCCATTCAGATTCCATCCCCATCTCATTCTCCATCCCCTCCCATTTTCCATCCACATCCCATCCCAAACCAATTCTCCATTCCCATCCCAATCCAGTTCTCCGTTCCCATCCCAATCCCATTCTCCATCCACATCCCATCTCAATCCCATTCTCCATTCCCATCCCAATCCCATTTTCCATCCCAATCCCATTTTCCATCCCCATCCCATCCTCATCCTGTCTCCATCCCCATACCATATATATCCCATCCCAGTTTCCCCATCCAATGTCATTCTCAGCCCACCCCCACTTTCATCCCATCTTCATTCCCACTCCCCACTCACCCCATCCCAATCCTCCCATTCAGATTCCATCCCCATCTCATTCTCCATCCCCTCCCATTTTCCATCCACATCCCATCCCAAACCCATTTTCCATTCACATCCCATCCCAAACCCATTCTTCATTCCCACCCTATCCCAATCCCCTTCTCTATCCCAATGCCATTCTCCACTCCCATCCCATTCCCTGTCCCCATTGTATTTTCCATCCCTGCCATAGTCTCCATCCCAATCCCACCCCCATCCCACCCCAGACTCCATCCATGTCCCCATCCCCGTTAACCTCTGGGGTGTCCCACTGCCCCTGCCCAGCCCTCCAGCCGAACCCGCTGCCCCCTGTGCCATCCCCAGCCG